TCCCAACACCACCCCCAACCCCCACTACCCGGCGACCCCCAATACCCCTCACCCCCTACCGCACTACCCGGCGACCTCCACGAGGCATCCCCAACCCCTCCGCCCCCGAACTCTCTCCAAGTGCAGCGCCTCCCTCTGTAGGCACGGGGCGTGGACAAGGAGGCACTCCACGCTTGCGTGGAGTCTGCTCCTTCATGACACACGTCCCTGCTCTCAGAGCGTGCTCCAAGCTCTCAGTGGACACTCCTCTGCCGCGACCTCGCTGAGGCTCACAATCTGATGCCGGTACCTCCCTCGCCACGGTCGTCCTGGCGTCGCGGGGTCCCAAGCCTGGCTGAAGGCGTGCAGTGTGCTCTGTGACACAGCGGGTGGAATCCAAATCTATGTCTGTCCTCCTGAATAACGTCGTGTCACACACGTCCTGCTGAACTGTTGTCGTGTCACGAATCCTGCATCTCCTAGGCTTGTGTGGGGATCGAGAGCCTCTGCCTGTGGGCGACGATGATGGATCACCTACAGGTGGTCTAGGAGGAGGGGGTACCATGTCTCTTGTGCGTGGCGCTGTCTCCATCACGCCACCCGAAACCTCTGGAGCATGTCCCACGGCACGTCCTCCGGTGGAGGTAGACCCGGACCACACGGGCGACGCAGGACCCCATGGAACCGAAGGGATCGCCTGCCATAATAGATGCTCGAGCCTCTGGTCAACGATCCGCTGGTCCAATCGAGTAACATCGCGTACAGCCTCTCTCGCCAACTCCTCTGCATTGAAAGGACGACAGACCTCTTGCGGAGCAAAGTGGCTAGGAAGACGTGGGGGCACAACCACCGGCTCGGACCCCAAATCCATGATAACGAGCGGTGGCACACCATGCATTGCCATCTGAACTGCCTGCGACTGTCGGCCCAGAGCCAAGTGCACGCCCGAGAACGGAACGACTAGACTCGTCGCTGTCTCCCGGACGACGCGCCGTGCGTCTATAGCCCCCTCAACTCGCCGCTGTCCTGCCTGCACAGCCTCATCCACCGCCTGTGGCCGTCCCTCCACAACAATGTCCCCTGCCTCTGCTCCACCCGGCATAGCCTCATCGTCCGCCTCTGCTGCCACTCCGTCTGCAACGTCCTCTCCCGCCACCACCCCACCCTGCACACAATCCCCCCCTGTCTCTCGAAGCCTGGCCTCCTCCAAGGCCCGTATGAACGCCTGAGCATGCGGGTTACTCGATGCCAGAAGTCGAACCCTCTCTCGCTCCATGATGTCGCGTGCTGCATCTGGAGAGGAGAATCCGTCGTCTTCTCTCTCGGGGTCTGTGTCAAAGTCTGTCCTGCCACCTCGTCTCTCGATGGAGCCCGGTCCGTCGATGTCGCCCCGCCGCAACTAGGTGGAAGGCCCATTGACAAATCAAAGTCTAAGTGGGTCCCCATGTCCGAATCCGAAATCCCAAACCCCCTCGTCACACCCGGGGTCATACCTCCTATGACTGGATCGAGCTCCTCTATGACGAATTGCTGCATAAGGCGCTCGTCATCGCCCCCACACGGCACCTCCGCCTGTGCAGCTATCTCCTCCTCCACTGGTCCTGCCAACCTTCTCTCCACTGCAGCTGCTGACGGTGCCTCCTTCTCCTCAGTTGCTGCTGCCCCCTCCACCTCCACTACTGCCGCTCCTCCAACTGCTCCTCCTGCAGCTGCCACCTGCCTCTCCACTGCTGCTGCTCCTCCTGCCGTAGTGCCTCCTCCTCCAGCAGTGATGCTGCCATCTCCTCCACCAGTGCTGTTGTTGCTGCTACTGGTATGTCGTCTACCCCGGCCGCGATCGTCGTGCCCGCCATCGCCGCTACTGCCACCCCCCTCTCCACTGCTGCTATCGGTGGTGCCCCCTCCTCCTGCAATATCCCCTGGGAAGGTGATCGTAACCTCAGCTAGCAGACTTCCTCGCCTCTGTGCAGAAGTCCGCGCTGAGGCAAAGAGGACCCCAACTCCTCTGTGTCCGCCGTTGCCGTGGCCGGCTGAAGTGGTGAGACGGGCGATGGTGGTGCAAGACTCGGAGCAGAAGGTGGCGGCATGGACGACTTTCGCCTCGTCAGAGTAAGGGTCGTCGCCCGCGCCTCTGGGCCGCTCGTGGAAACGACCTCCCCCCAGCATCTCCCTGTCCGCCTGGTCCGCCGCCCGTCGTGCAGTGTGTGCCCTCCTCTCTTCGCCTTCGGGATCGTCGTGCGTCTTGTTGATCTCACGGGGAATGCGGAGCGCAGGGTCATCTGCCGCCTCGGGTACCGACTCCTCGTCCGAGTCGTCCTCCCTAGGTTAGGGACGAAAAATGCAAGCACGTTTATCGAAAACGACATCAACAGAAGGTTAGTGCGGAGGCCCCGATGGGATCCCGGGTAATAAGTGCAACCTGACGGACAATCTCCTCCTTTGTCATCCCCCTGCGAGTCCCCGAGCGCACAGGCTCCACCTCGAGATGTGTATACGGCCGTACGTATACGGCCCATATGTACTCCCGTACGTACGGCCCCCCAGCCCCCGTACAGCCCGTACGTACGGACTTTGGGCCCCCCATACGTGGCCTTCCGGGGGGGTGTTGAGGGGGTGAATGTGCTGCGGGGGGTTAAGGCGTCGGGGGGTACCCCTCCATTCAAAAAAAATAAAAATAAAAACTTTTTATTTTTATTTTAATCTGGGTGTTAAAAAAAAAGATTGGTAGATTGATTGATTGATTGATTGATTGATCGATTGATTGATTGATTGATTGATTGATTGATTGATTGGTCGATGGATTCAATGATTGAATGATTAGTTGATTGATTGATAGATTGATTGTAAAATAAAATGAAAAAACGAAAAAAAAAATAAAAATCCTTCATTGATTAATTGATTGATTGATTGATTGATTGATTGATTGATTGATTGTCAGTGGGGGGGTCGCCTCCCCCCCGCGAACACACACACACACACACACACACACA